GTTACACAGCAACAGATAACTAACACAGTCAGGTTAGCATGAACAGGAAGGACATACAGCATGTGTGCAGCATGGTGCCTGACACACGGGTCAGTGCTTAAAAAGTGCCACCTGGCACAGCATCTCCCACCTCTCAGCTTTCCCTAGGTGACTCCCCTCCAGTTCTGTTCCTCAGAGTTCTTCCACCCCTCTTGAATATGTTTTCAAGGAAAGTTTTCTCTGCCTGCTTCCAAGGCACCATACATGACCGTGACTGTGACCTTGATGGGAGCGCTTGTCCTGCATTGCGTGCACTTCTCTTCGCTTTCTGCCTGTGCGATCCAGGGGCACACCAAGCCCCTCTTTCTCCTACTTGCCAGCAACCCCAGAACCACCTGAGAATAGGGACCAAGTCTGACTCTTCCCAGCCCCCGCCCTCACCCGGTGGCAGGAAGTTGAAGGAAAGAGGTGCCCGGCTGGAGGCAGGGAGCAAGGAGAATTGGGGGGAGCCTGGGCCCGGGTCAGTGGGACAGAGCGGAGCCGCCCTCCCTGTCTGTGTGGGGCCAACGATGGGTGCCGCAGCTCCCTGGGCCCTCCCCTGGGACCCCAAGTCCCCGCTGGGCCCTGCCTGGAGGGAGGGGGCTTCACAGGCATTCTCAGGTGTCTGTTGACAGGAGGGCCTTGTTGGCGGGTGACCCCCATCCCGGTATTTCCCATTAATTCTGGGACCGCTCGTTTCACATTGGCCCCAAGTGTGAACATCCACATCACAGGCCTCCAGTCTGACACGTGACCCTGGAAACCCTCTGCCCCTCCTCGGCAGTTTCCCCACCTCTGCAAGGTTGCCTGAAGGCCTTTCCAGCTCTGACCAAAGAATGTGCCCACCCCCTGCCTGCTGATGGGGGCTCCTGCAGGGTGAGGCACAGGGTGGGGAGGTTCACCCAGCCCCCCTCCTCCCAGGGCCTCTTCCCCACAGGCAAGAGAGGATGTGTCACCATCTTTCCGGAAAATTCCCACAGTTCAGTTCTTTCCTGGGATTTAACTGGAGGAATTGCATCTTTCTTGCTCACATCTCCTGGGATCTATTCTTGGCCTTGGCAGGCTTGATGTGGTGGCGTGTGTGGGTGTTCCCTTTTAATTTGGGGTCCAGAGCCGTCTGAGGCCGGACCGGTAATTATGAGAGCAGCGCCATATATGGAAACAGCCCTTGAAACAAGCCAGTGATGAGACCCGGCTGGAAATACCTCGACATGGAGCCCTGGGCCGCCTCGAGGCGGTGCTGAGATTTCTGGGTGGGAGAAGCCTCTTCAGGACGCAGAACCGACAGGTCATGGGTCCTGGCCTCCCTTGGCCTGCAGAGGCTGCGGGGTCTGGGCCTTGTTTCGGGTCTGAAATGGGGTCTCCCTTCCCGCCTTTGCTGCCTGTGGGACCAGTCAGGCAGGCCCGGCCCATGCACCCCGAGCTCTGGGGGAGCCACCATCCACCCGCAGGGGCCAGGCTGGGAGAGAAGGCAGGTCCACAGCAGTGGGAATGTCGGTGGCTTCTGATGGACTCACACGGGGACATGGCAGCCACACCCAGACTGGCAGCGATACCCAGCCCAAAAGGCTGTGAGTGCCAAACACGGAGCCGCTGTCCTGGGGACAAGCGGCCCACAGGAAGAAAGGCTGGGACAGCCCCACTCTGGGGCCCTGGAACACGGCGGCCAATGAGCCACATGGGAGCCTCTGATGTCCACACATGGCTCGGTCCTGGCCCTCCAAGGTCTCGCCATCCAGAGGAACAGTTGGATCAGAGACAGCAAGGCCTGGCATGGGGGCTGGGAGAGGCCAAAAGCCTGACCTGCGTGGGGTCTGAGGACTGGGAGGCTTCTCAGCTGAACAGAGAGGGGCAGGCTGCCCGGGGAGAGCAGCTTCCAGGAAGGAGTCTGGGGGAGGCGTCTGCAGCCAGAAGGCACAAGAGGCCGGAGGGACAGATGGCAGGGCTAGCACAGGGAGGGCCTGTGACATTCCTTCTGCGGGCCCTTCGGGGCCAGGGAGGGTCTGAGGGGAGGCAGGACGGCTCACAGGCCACAGGATTCTGTTCTGAGCTGAAGGAAGAGGGTGTCTTTTGAAGTCCCGCTTTTTGGTCAGAAATAAGACAGATTTAGGTTGTGTGGATGAGACTAAATTGCCCAGGGCACAAAAATAGCTAGGGCCCTTGTTGGTGTCGGGCTGAAGGTCTCAGGGTTTGGCATCTGAAGGCCTAGGCTGGAGTGGCAGGCACAGGGCCCCAGATGTGGCCAGTGGAAGCCACCTCCTGCCCACAGTGGCCTTTCCTGGAAGCGTGGGGTCCAGAGGTTGCTTTATCCATGGCTAGAGGAGGAGGCTGAGGGTTCCATCTGCACATATTGGTGATTCATGATTGTTTATTTTCCCAGGAGTCACATTAAGGTGGTTTAGATGATTTATAAAGTAAATTCATTTGCTGCTTCCCCAGACAGAAGCTGGTTCCGCATGAGCCCATTTGAGGCAGCTTTTATGATTTTGTAGAAAATAAACATTTAGAGGTCCCTGTGGAACCAGGTATAGGTTGGTGTCTTTCCTGTGACCAATGAATTACCCTCTGCACATGTCTTCATATTTTGCCAGTATGTCTTTGGGGTTCTTGTGCCAAACGGTAAATTCACATGTAATTTTGCTAGGTATTGCCAAATTTCTCCTCTACATAGCATTCCTATCAGCAACGCCTGAGAATGTTCATGTCTGATCTTAATCTTTTTCCTCATAGGCTATACAGAGCACCCTATGAAAAGCACCTGTTACTCTTGAACCCATAACCTTTTCTGTTTCCTTCAAAGCATTTGGAGTAGAACAATAGAAATTACATCCCATATTTTACTTGCTTTTTGTTTATATTTTATGTTTTCCATTAGATGGTAAACTCCATGAGTGTGGAAAAAATATCTTCTTATTCATTTTTGTATTTTCAGTGCCCAGAATAGTGTTGTACACACAGTAAGAACTGGGTAAATATATTTCTAGGCAGGGCGTGGTGACCCCTGCCTGTAATCCTGGCACTTTGGGAGGCCAAGGTGGGCAGATCACTTGAGGTCAGGAGTTCCAGACCAGCCTGACCAGTATGGTGAATCCCCATCTCTACTAAAAATACAAAAATTAACCGGACATGGTAGTGGACGCCTGTAATCCCAGCTACTGGGGAGGCTGAGGCAGGAGAATCGCTTGAACCCAGGAGGCGGAGGTTGCATTGAGCCAAGATCATGCCATTGGACTCCTGCCTGGGCAACAAAGTGAGAACCTGTCCCCCACAAAAAAAGAACTAGGTAAATGTATTTCCAAATTAAATATGATGAACTTATGAGATGAGTGAAATAATACATATTTTTAGAAAAACATAATTCAGTCTTGTTTCTGACCAAAAACTAAGACTTCAAAGACACCCTCGGGTGCTGTGGGACAAGGCAGGTTCATTCCCGCTCTGCCCTGGGCTGGGATGAGCGCCCATCACCTCCTGCCCACACACGTCTGGCCCCATCCCCCGCCCCACACAGCTGTTTGCCTGCCCACGGCTGGACCAGGTCCCCACCTCGAGGACAGGAAGTGCTCCCACATCCGCTGCAGCCCGCACAGCCTGGTGCTTTTACAAACCTGACTGTGGTCACTGAGCCCAGTAACCAGAGAGAATGTTTAAAAAGACTCACAAACATATCATTGAAATCTCAGTGTTGGGTTTTGCGGAAGGCACTGGGCGGTTCCCACCCCTGCCTTCTGGAAACACAGATTTCTGGAGTTTAAAAGGGACGAGAGGCTAAAGTGAGACTGCCCTAAATGTAGCGTCCCGGGCATTTCCGGGCACCTGGGGCAATGTGGGCTTCATTCCTTTGTTTGACTGGCAGGTCAGCCCCCGCCACAGGGCCCTGCCGCCCATCTCGCCTCCAGCCTGGCCTCTACCCTCGCCTCCGCAGTGTCTTCTTATTCCCCTCCACCCACGCCGCCCCCTGCTGCCCCCAATCCCTGTGCTCCCCACTGGCCAGAGGCACAGCCCAGACTCCTGGCCGGGGATTCGCACCCTCAGCAGGCAGGCCGCAGCCGAGCTCACGCGCAGTCCCCAACGTTGCTGACCTGTGGGCGCCTCCACCCCTGTGCATGTGAGGTCCCCTCTCCCTAGAGCGCCCCCTCTGCCACCTCTCCACCTACCAGGACCCCATCCCACCCTTTAAGACCAGTTCAGATGCCACCTGCTCACATCCCACCACCCAGTGGGAACCTCGACCTCCCTAGCACCTGACGGGGCCACTCCGGGAGTTGTCACTCCTGCCCTGATTTTTCTTGTTCCTTTCCACATTTCCCTCCTTCTTCCTGCACCTTGTTCCAGAAAGGAAACGTGGGTCCCCTGCCCTCTGCTGTCTTCTGGTGCTTGCCCTGCCCTCAGGCCCCTCCGCTCTGACCCTCTGCCCTGGCTGGCCGGCCCCTGCAGGGCCCATCTCCCTGACACCGTGGCAGATTCACACTTGGGCCTCAGCCCTGAGCCCTCCTGGCTGCACCTCTCATCCCGGCAGTGGGCAGCCTCTGGATGGCCCGTGTCCCCTGACATGCCATCGGTTGTGTCCCTGACAACCAGGTTTCCCTGCAGGTTCAGGGCTTTTTTCTGCCTTGGGTCCAATGTCCATCTTCTCTTTAGCTGGAAGCTCCCTCCTCTGTCTCATCTGTGGGTCCCAGCACCAGCCAGGGCCGAGAAGGGGCGCAATGGGAGTTTGGGGTGTGGAGCCTGGGGCCTGTTGAGCACAGCCAGGTACAGGGCTCAGGGTGTGCCTGGCTGCAACAGCCCCTCAGCCCTGCCCACGCCACAGGGCCAAGCCTGGAACACACGTTTGAAAAGGACAAAGCCAGCCCCACCCAGGCCTCCTGGGTCCCCCTGCACCTTGAGCGGTGGGCAGCTGGGGACAGCGGCTCATACCAGCTCTGCCCACTCCAGAGCCCGAGCCATTCCAAGTGCCAGCCCAGCTCTGTTTTGTCTTCTAGTGGAGCGAGACCGTGCCCTGGGCCACCAGGAGCCCCACTGGAAGGAGTTCCACTTTGACCTGACCCAGATCCCGGCTGGGGAGGCGGTAACAGCCGCGGAGTTCCGGATTTACAAGGTGCCCAGCACCCACCTGCTCAACAGCACCCTCCATGTCAGCATGTTCCAGGTGGTCCAGGAGCAGTTCAACAGGTGCCTTCCCCTTGGCCTGGGTGCTCCCCACCCAACCCGCCTCATAGTCTCATGGTCAAGGCAGCCCAGCAGGGAGTGGGGGTGAGTGGAGCCTTTCCCAGAGGACCCAAAAGAGAACCTCAAAGACAGGAGAGGTGCTTGGCCTAGGGCCCCTGCACTGTGGGAAGAGCCCCAGTGTTGGAAATAGATGCTCGGTGCCACAAAGAAAAATTAGCACTGAGACAAAGGATATTTCAGCAACACAATTTTTCCTTCCTGGCCTGCAGGAAGGGCACTCTCACTGGCCATCTTGCCGTGAGAGTGCAGTGAACAATGGAAAACACGCAAATGTATCCCTTATGCATTTGGGGTCGTCCTTACTGCTGTGTCTAATCTGTTGGCTGGAGCCTGACCTCACAATCTAAACTTAACAGTTATTAGCACACTTATTCTTTAACAAGAAAGGAAACTTTAAAAAGGAAATTTTCTACTTCCCACACCCAGTGACAGTCCTGCCTTCAGATCCCTGTCCTGCCATCCTGGCTGTGGGGACTTGGACAGGTCACTGAGCCTCAGTTTCCCCATGTGTACACCTCTGCTGAGGCAGTGAGATGAGGCTCAGAAGGGGCACAGACCAGAGCCAGGTGGGAGACGCTCCTGTGACAGCCCCCAGGTGGGCCCTGCAGACACGGAGGCAGCTGTGCCGGCCGCCAGTTAATTGTTCTTTCGTGTCCACAGGGAATCTGACTTGTTCTTTTTGGATCTTCAGACGCTTGGAGCTGGGGATGAGGGCTGGCTGGCGCTGGACATCACAGCAGCCAGTGACCACTGGTTGCTGAAGCGTCACAAGGACCTGGGACTCCGCCTCTATGTGGAGACTGAGGATGGTGAGGCTGGGGGCTCTGCGGGAGCAGCTCCTGGGGCTCCTGTGTGCCAACACAGGCAGTGGTAGTGACCTCCTGTGGCCATGGGTGCCCGGCCTCACCAGCTGTGCCTGCTTCGAGGGTCAATGAGGTTCAGGGCTTGAGGTCTGGCCTGGCGGGGGTGCTCCCTCCTCTCCTTCTGCTTCCCAGGAAGTGGGTGGTTCTTCCCACGGAGCAGCCTCCACCTTGGGAGTTTCTATCCTGGGAAGGAAAGGAGGGGAAGTGGCTGTATCCTCAGGTGCTGAGGCCAGGAGGCTGGGTTTGAAGCCCAGCCCAACGGTGCCCTGCCTCAGTGACCTTGGCCAGGACTTACCTTTCCAGACCGTCTTTTCTACAGGATGGGGATTCACGCCCTTGTTCACTCCACAGGTGATACTGGGGAGAGCCTGCTTTATGCCAGGCAGTAGGAATACAAAGGCCAAAGTGGGCATGAGATGGGCGTGTTTGAAACCCAGCAAGGGGCCGCCATGGAGCAGCGGCGAGGGCGGGTTCCCAGGGGCCACTCTGAGTCAGGGTAAACTAGGGCCAGGGTGTTGGGATTCTTAGAGTCATTTATTTTATTTAATAGCAGTGGAGGACGATAGGACCTGATTCAGGTTTTGAAAGAGAACCCTCTGAGATGCCCCGCTCCTGGGGTGGAGCAGAGCTCCCCACCCCTTCCGTGGGCTGCTCAGTGACTTGCTTCCCAAAAGTGCAGTATGGATGGGGCGTGGGGGACCTGAAGTGCAGCGCCTCAGCCAGGTTAGGAAGGCTCACTGCAGTGACCAGCACAGAGCTAGCACCTGCCCTGGGTGTAAGGCAAGAAGGCCACTGATCCTTGGAGGTCCCCATCCCTGGACCTGAAATGCCAGTCCAGACGTAAGAAAACCATCACACAAACCCGAAGAGAAGGGCTTTCCGCAGAATACCTAATAAGTGCTTCTTAAAACCACCAAGCTCATCCAAAAATGGGAAGGTTGGGAAACTGGAGGAGCCCAGACGTGCCTAGGGGAACCGGCTCAGTGCATGTGGGGTCCTGGACCCGCAAAAGGGCATTAGGGAAACGTTATGAAATCCAGATCAATCATAGTATTATTTACTTAAAAAGATATCAGTATTGGTTGTTATGAGAAAGGTACCCCACTAGTGTAAAATATTAACATTTCCCAGGGCAGCTGGGTCCAGGTGTATGGGAACTCCCTGTGCTGTTGTTTTCTTCTTTGAGACAGGGTGTGGCTCTGTTGCTCAGGCTGGAGTGCCGTGGCGCGATCACAGCTCACTGTAACCTCCAACCCCTGGGCTCGAGCGATCCTCCCACCTCAGCCTCTATACTATCTTTGCAAATTTTTATGTAATATCAACTGTTGTAAAATTAAAACTTTACTGAATATATGCATAAAATAAAGAACCCCCTACTTCAGTGGGGAAGAGTAGACTGAGCTGGATGAGAGCGAAGTCAGAGAGGCCCGTGGGGGCCCCACAGTGGTCCAGGTGGGCGCTGCGAGCGGCTTGTGGTAGCAGTGGAGGTGGAGGAAGGTGGGTTGATTTCAGCGTCAGGACGTGGTTATAGCTGGCGAGGAGGTGAAGGAAAGGGAGGAAGCCTGAATGATGCGTGGATGGAACCAGTGCATTGTTTCTAATAGATTTTTCTTTTTGGCCTGCACTGGGGAAAGATAGATGAAGGGCAGGTTTGAGGTGGGTGGTCAAGGGTCTCTTTTGGCTGGAATATTATTGTGCCCCCTGGGATGTTACTGAGATCCCTGGTCCTCATGGAAATGCCACTCCAGGGAGAGATGAGCGTGAAGACCCAGGTGTGGGAAGTGCTGGCATGTAAGTGCTGGCATGGATTTAAAGCATGGGGCGGGACCAGGTCCCCTAGGGAAGGAAGGCCGTGATGGAGAAGAGAGGGGGCCTGGCCCAGAGCCCTGGGGCCTCCACCACCCAGAGAGCTCTCAAGGAGGGGCCACAGTGAGCCCAGAGGGACCAGCCAGGGAGGGGGCAGAACACCTGGAGGGTGAGGTGACCTAGACGCCAGATTAAAGTGTTTCCAGAAGCAAGGGTTTGTCATTTGTGTCCTGCCATGGGCACTGAAGGCAAGGACAGAAGTGACCGAGGGTCTTGCCACACACAGGTTGATGACCCAAATCTCCAGGGAGTGTGGGTCTGACTGGGAGGTGGAGGGAGACAGGCAGTGGGGGCAGGAGACCGTGCTTTCCAGAACCTTTGCTGGGGAAGGGGAGCAGAGACAGGGGCTGGGGCTGGAGAGAACCAGGGACAAGACAGGCCCTTTACAGGTGAGGAGACGCCTGCCCACTGCTGTGGCGATGGAGTGATTCTGAGCAGAGGGAAGAAAACTGCAAAATTCTGCACAAGTTGGATCTAGGAGCTGGAGCTGGGAGCTGGAGTGGGGCAGGTGGAGGGGGGAGCTGGAGGGGGGAGCT